ATATATATACATATATATATATATATATATATATATATGTATATATATACACAAATAGCCAAATAAAAAATAAGATGTGTTCAACATATATTAATCACTTTTGAGTTTTTTGAACGAGAAAATTACTTTAAATTTCTGCATATATCGTAAGAAATTTGCTAATAATTCTAATAAAAATAGGCAACAAAAGATGCAAAAAAAAAGAGAGAAAGACAGAAGTTGCAAAATATTTCTGCATATATCGTAAATCTACATTTATAAATAAATCGTACATGATCCTGCATATATTATACGATATTGCATTCCTGCAACAGACCGTCTATGTTGCACATTCCTCGACTACTTTCGCCCGCACTTATAGACTTCATCCTATTTTCTTTATCTATTTATGTATGGAAAATGTGGTACAGCAGCGCATCCGGTTTATGATCGTCATGCTACGAGTTCAATAGACCGTATTTCACGGCCTTACGTTACGCTTTATGACTACGAGTGCAAGTGCAGTATTATGTATAAATAGAAGCACTCGGTCGTGAACCACGGTCACTCTTACGAGAGAGCCGAGGACGATGCGCTGGTTTCTTCGGCCGACGTACGCTGTAGATGTACTTATCGATGAAACTTTTTTTCTTCGGGATAAGGACGGAGGCATCTCATTTGTTGTTTTTTTTATTACAAAAACAGGAGGTGTCATATGGAAGCACGCAGTCGAACATTAAATAAATATTAATTATATAAGATACAACGAATAAATAACGAATTCACGTAAGGCTACGTATATAAAACAATGAGCATCTCCCAGAGGTACTGGTGACTGGCCGCGGAATCGGCCATGTTATATAAGATAAAATAAAAGAGAGAACAAGAGAAGTTAAAAAAGACAAGAATTCGAATATAAAAGAGTTCATGTAAGCATGAAAAAAGGATCGATCGATTAATTCGAGAAGATTTTAGACTGAAAATAGCGAAATCTCGAATCGAGAATAACATTGGAAATTATAGGTAGCGGCATATTTTCCTGGAAAGTAGGAGACAGACTACACATAGCAACAGTTTAAGTAAGAAAGGAAAAAGGAAAGAAATAACGAGGAATGCAGCGAGTGAAGCAGGCGTGAGTATAATGAAAGGGAAGAGAATCATCAGAAGAAAATGGAAGAGAAGCGAGAAGCGGCGCGGGACGGAAACTTTCTATGGTACCGCTCAAGCTTGCGGTTGGGGTTGGTGGGCGCGATACGCAATTTCATGAGCATCTTGTGGCAGACTCCTGGCCCATCCGTGTCCGCTGGTACCGTAACCACCGCCGAAGTCACCGCCGCCGCCGCCGCCGCCGCCGCCGCCGCCACCGTAACCGCCATGGTCATCATGGCTGACATGGCTGCTGGTGTGATGCGGATGCGAGACTACTTCGTAAGTCACGTGCTTCTGGTGAGAACCGAGAAGTTTCTTCAGTCCGATGATGGCTGAGATCACGAGAGCGATCTTGCCCACGAGCAAAGCCTTGCCAGCAATCATGGCGATCGCTCCGAGTGCCAGTGGTAATAAAGCGGCCGCTTTCAGGGCCATGGCCATCATCAGGGGTCCTAAGATTTTTTGCGCCTTCTCTGTAATATTTAAAATGTTTATATTTTAGTTTGTATCAAAATAAGGGATAGATATTTGTCTCGGACGTATTTCTTCAAGATTACTCTTAAATAGCTGCTTAATCTGATTCTGATCAGCGTATGAATGTGTTTTAAAATCGTATTTGTCTTACCATTTCTGTTATACTTTACTCTAAACGCCTAAAAATATATCTTTGATTTAAAAAAAAAAAACATGTTTTTATATATGTCTATTTAGAGTTTATAATCGTATTATTGTAAGTTTTAATCTATTCAGACATTTTATTTTTGTGTAAAATAAGATTAATATATGTAATTCATATATTTATATATTTCTTGCTAGATATATGAAATGTGAATATGGAATATGAATTGTGAGGTTTGATGTTATCATTACTCTCTTTTCACACTTCTGTGGAGAACGGGAATTTGAGTACATCGTCAGCTGTATAGCAGGTATAGTTAAGAATATACGATTTTCATTCCATAATGCGAATTACTCTATTATGTGATGTGATTATCAAGATATCTATATGTTTTCACAGAATGATATATTTACAAAATGCATATCATCTTTGTGTGCTTATTTATAGTTGGTCATGCATTTAGATTCAATTTGACAAAGATTTAAAAATCTTCAATTACAAGAAAAGTTAATTTCATTAAAAGACAATATCAATTCTTAGTAATAATTAAAGATTTAAAAATCTGATATAATATAAAATTAATATAACAAAATATGATCTTGAAACTTTAAAAAATATGTATATTGATTGAAATGTCATAATGTAACGATTGCATCAAGATAATAAAATTTATAAGTGATGTGACATAATCTCGAACTAATTTGTATGGAAAACTGATCGTTAATATTCGTACGCTGGAATTAATAATCGTGTAACAGTAATAGCAATTTATAAATAGATAAGATGCCGAGATACGAACGTGCGCACAAGTCAATTGTTCGAGCGTCGTTTGTAAGCCCGATAATAATAGTTCTCTGTAAATCACGTCACGCTGATCACGGAGATGTTAATGTTTTTTAAAACGGAATAGTCGAAGGTCAAGGCAAAGTACTAGGATGGAAAGTGTGTCAAAAATCTTGCGCGGCAGGATCTCTCTCGCTCTTTATCTATCTCTCTCCCAACCTTTCGGTATCACCGGCGCTCTCCTCCTCCGTTGAGAGGTTCAAGGAGAAGCGGAACCAGTTCCTCAGTGGGTCAACGTCTGCGACCGGTATGAGCTTCCTCGTCGTCATCGTCGCTGTTCACACGGCGGCAATGAACGCAGAGAACTCTCATACCGCAGCTGACGTTGGCCCGATGAACTGTGATCACTTCTTCGTTATGCGAAGAATTTACCTCTTTTTCTTTTCTATTATATATTTCTTATGATTTAATATATTTCATATAACTTAAAAAATATGTTTGTTAAAAGTAGAAAAATGTAAATTGAATAGCAAAGAAACGTTAGATAGATATTATTTGTATTATATATTGATAAAAAATACATATATGTATTACGTTAAATATTAATGAAAAAGACTTTTACGTGCAGAAATATAATAAAAAAGCTCTAAAAAAAACTCCGAAATTACATGATATAAAAATTGTAAATAATTGCGTAAACAAATATTTTTCATTGCAAAATTATCCCTTAAAGGTATTCGTATAAATAATTTCATTCTTCCCGTATTGTGTGGAGTAAAAAAGCTCTATAATTTTGATTAAAATTCTGATATTTATAGATGCAAATATAAATAGATGCATTGAGAATCATACTTGGGATGACTCACAGAATCACTCGATTGCTAGTTTCGCTTTTAAAGCAATTATTTATTTAGCCAGAATAAGCAATCATTGTAAGCAAATTTAATAAAATGTAATTATAGACGTTGTTGTAATCAATTTTGTATTACGGATCGTACTACGTTTGTATTCGAGTGTATCCAAGTCCTTAACGTAAATATTAAGATGTAATTTTTCATGGCGTGCTATACTCACTCTTTTTTCCACGGCTCTCGACAGCATTGTCGCTGAAATCCTCGAAATTGCGTCCAGCGGACTCAATCGCTCCCAAAATATCGCTGCCCTTGAGGTCAACTTTGACTGAATGTGTCTTCAGGAATCTTCCAAGACGATCGAACAATAATGTATCCAAATCGCTGGATTCGATAGATCTGCCAAAAATGCGAATATAAATATAAATATATTCGAACATAGTTCGATGTTTAAATTGGCATAAGCGCAATCTCGGAGTTCACAGAACGACAAGCAACCAACCTTGGAGCACCTTCGCCCTCGGCGTTGGACGTTTTTACAACAGTGATGCCTTCAGATAGTGTAATGTCTTCTTTGTCGGCCAGCATCTTGTCGACAAACGTGAATACTTTGTACTTGATGCAGCTGATGGACTCCTTCTTCAAACAATCGGTGTATATGCTCGCCACCAGATCGTTCTCACTTCCGCTGGCCTTGTCGCTGGTCGGCAATGCCAAGGTCGCGGTCAACGCCGCCGACACCCACAATAACGTCACGAAATGCTTGGCCATGGTCACCAAAGTACGACTTCACCGCGTTATACGCGTCGCCAAGTCGCGTGCGTCACCGTGCAGTCCGTTTCTCGACTCCTCCGTGCCCAACGTGCGCGTTGTTCGATCAAGCACGCCAGGATGCACCGATGTTGCCTCGTGTGTTACATCTAAAAGAGGTTGCTTTGCTTTTATACCGAAGTATCGCACGAGGGGAACCCCTCGTGGATTCGCAGGCCACCGGGGGTCCGCATTCGCGACATACGCTCTCTCGCCTCCCTCCTTTCACCTTGCTCCTCTCTCGTTACCCCCCACCCCTTTCTCTCTCTTGCTCTGTAGAGTGTATCGGGTGCCCCACAGGATCTCCCCACGCTGACTTCCTCCCCTTTCATCGATCTCCCTCTCGTCATCCCGCTTATTTTGGCAAAGTAAAAACTAAGCGAGGCGCGAGAAAGAGGCAAGGTGGTAGAAATGCGATCAAAGAAAGATTGAAAAAAATATATATAGTACAGATGCCTATATCGATTACATCGATACATGCTCAGCATTTTGTAGCCAGGACGTGTATCCTCAAATAACATATATTCTTAAATTGCATTCTTCCGAAGCCTACAAGCCTTCTCTTCATCACTATTTCTCCAGGTATATTCTTTCTGCTAAAACATATCCATAGTCTCACGCTATGGACCTACTTTAAGTCACATTAACCCATGAAGAAGAGGAGTCTCTCCAGGATCAATTGAAACTAAATACAATGAAGGAACTGTAGAATGAAAGAGACTTGTAGGCAACCTGGACGATGGAAAAAGTATATGTAGATCCTCTGTGATTTACCGCACCATTTCGCCCGACCACCCGCCTACTATTATTACGACCTAGAGTGTTGTGCGACTTAAATTACCATTGCACATGCAGAAGTACGGCCGTATGCGTCGTAGTGACGTTGATTCGAGACGCCTAATCGAGAAATTCTGGTCAACTGTGAGATTCCTTGATGATCGTTTCTGCCAGTGTGCAATTCATGGAACGAAATTCTAGGGCTCTTAAAATGAGTTACTCAATATTTCTCCTCGTTTATTCAAATAACCAGAAGTGCTTTGGCCGCTCCAGATACTTCAACTCAACGAGGCCATATAGACAGTAGTTTCGATAGGTATACGATGCGTCGCATGTACCTCTCAAGGATGAAGATTCAGTGTCGGCGGATGCGATTACAAGGTCCATTAGCGACAACTGATGACTCATGTCGTACAACTTTGGCTTGATTAATTCATTGTACTAAGTAGCACAATGTAGAACGCAAAGAATCTAGATACTAAGTCGCTTACGGTAAATTGTAATTATTTTCGTTCCTTTACGCAGCTTTCCTAAATACAATGGTGAATATAAGGAATTATCTTGCCGACTGATCGCTTAATTTTAGTCGGAAGTTGTGATTTATAGCGATCGCTCTGAACCTATAGATAGAGACAAAAGACTATACAAAGAACATCTCGACGAGCGTTCTCGTAACGTACGGAAAGTATTTAATTGTTGCAGATGATATTGCTCTACCTCCGAAAATTCATTGGCAGATGATAAACATGAGATATCATTCCTGGAACGAGGTCGCTCACCTATTTATAACTGGGTCGAGAGTTGGGCAATCATTTTGGTATCTTTCTCTCTCTCTTTCTCTCCTCCCCCCCCTCTCTCTCTCTCTCTCTCTCTCTCTCTCGCCTCCCTCTTCTCTATCTCTGTCTTTCTTTCTCTCTTTCTTATTCTTTCTCACAGTAACCATGTTCTCGATCCCGACTTCTCTCGGGGATCAAGATCCCCCCTGTACCCAAGAACGAATGTCGCCTTGAGCGAAATCACACACCTGACGCGGCCTGTAACCCGGCGGGTTCTTTAAAACAAGCTTCAAGTAAAACGAACAAAATATTGAACGGAAAATCACGCCTATATCTTTTAAATAAAAGCAAATGTTTCTTATATCCTCGATACTTAACTGGATCAAAAAATAACCGTCCTCATTAACGATTCGTTTATCCGGCAATATATGAATAAATGAATTGGTGGTTCATACTCTTGTTACACCAGTATTATACTTATAACACTGAAAAAAACTGTTGCTTATAATGGAGTTATGTTAATACATTTTTATCAGCACGCTTTTTTTTTTCTTCATCTTTAGATCGCATTAAAACAAGGAAATTGACTGAAAGTAGAGAAGTCTTTATTAAAGATTCCTCATAATCATGCCACAGGGGAGACAGAGAGATCAATGCTGGGCGAGCACGAAGAGAGCGCCGTGAACAAGTGATGAGAGAAACCGGGCTCGAATATCGCAACGCTTCTGCGATACTAATTAGTCAGCCGCCGAAAGCAATTAAGCACGAGAGCAGCAATTAGATTGCGTTATAGCAGATATATCCATTCTGTACGACTACGTGACCCTGGCCGTAAGCCGTTGAAAGTCACGGGAAAGGTAACGGTCGCCTAACAATTGTTTCGAAATCGTGGCGCTCGGTTAAGTTCAAGTTGTATGTACCAGCTAGCATCTTAGCCAATGCATAATGCCTATACATGAGCCATTGAATTCAGACGTAACACCAATATCTTATACATACTATGTATCAAGATTTCCGACTGTCTGATCTGCCAAGTAAAAGTGCTTTTCACGGGTATATCTTACGTGAGAATCTGTCAAATTAAATACATAATAATAAAAGATCGGAAAGTAGATGAAGCGTGTGACGAATTTCGACTCGCAAATTTGGAAGATTGAATAATTTACTTATATATAATATAAATAGAATATATGAATAATATGTAAATAAAATGTACACTTTATAATATTTCCGACATTATAAATAAGTAGAGTATAATTAGGAATGTAAATGATTCAAAATTTTAAATTGCTAAATGTCCCGCCACACCGTTAATGAAGAGAAATGTTTGAATTGCTACGCAAAATGATAAAAAGATCATTCTATGCCAATTGACAACACGGCGATATACACACCTAATAATGACCTAGCAAATCGACCTATCACTAGGAAATCTAGTAACCCAGTGACGCATGAGAAACTCTCGAAACTAATCGTGACGTGAGAATCATACCTGGATTTAGATGCGAGTAAAGACGCGATCGACACGGAACTTTACGACTCTCTAATAATAAGACGATGAACATTTGGCGCTATCAACACGGAGAAATTGTTGCTTTTGTGAGCTCGAAGAACGATTTTATTCATCCGCTTGCTCAGCGCGGGTTAAGTTTCATAAAATGTTTTTATTCACTCCACGCAAATTACATGGTACAGAAGAAATACTATAATATTTTCTATTTCCAAAATATTATATATACTGCTATATTTGCGACGTAATGATACTTTACGATAAACTTTACTTTAAACAAAAAATTGAGTAAAAATCTAAGTGACTATCTGAAATAAATTACTAATTACATAAAAATGTAAGTATGAATATACAGCAAAATAAGTTTGTATCAGTACAATGAGCAAGAATTCTATGAATTAAGTAATTTAAATTTGAAAGAATATCTTTTATTACAACGTACAAATAATATGGAGGCTTAAGTACATGGTATACATACCTTGAATATAAAATACAAAAAATGTAAAGCGATAAATAGCTTGAAATTATTAGGAAAAAAGATACTTGTTCCAATTTCAGTGGTATTAATATAACATTGCACTCGGTTATATTATGAACGAAAGTAACTCCTCTTCCTCTCGAAGCAATTCCACGTCTTTTTCCCCGTTGTTCTTCCCGCAGTCACGTCGTCGTAGTCGTTGTATTACAGAGGAGTGTAATGATGCATGACAATCGCTTTTTTTGCACTGACGCATTGCCTCCTCTTCGCGCCATTCTTATATCTCATGCTATGTTTCGTACAAATAATATGTTTTTTGCCAGATTTTATTCACTTGTAAATCTAATATATTTTCTATTTAGCTATATGTTTTTTGCTGAAAGCATAAAATAAAAAATAAAAAATTATTTACGGGCTATTATCGCGATATCCATTGCATGGAGTCGTCTATATACGCTGGTTAAAAAGAATCACAAGTTTTACTTTACTGCCAAAACTTACTACCAATTTCTTTCTTTTCTTTTTCGATGGCAATCATATTTTTTTCGGTATACGTAAGTACTAATTATCAATGTCCACATCGTCGTAATCCAATATATCGTTCTAGAAAATATGACGTTGTACGTATATGGACGTATCTATAATGTATTGTCAAAGTAAAACTCTTTTTATTGCATCAAGTGAGGTTTTAGCGTAGTGCGAGAAAGAAACGCGCTATTTTGCCTCAACCTCCTTTCCAGCTAGTTATTTTTCTTCTATGTGGGACTTAAGGACATCCGTTTCGAGAGATTTAGTTGTATGCCTATCCTCTCGACCCGATTAGGAATGACGTACCCGTGCCGCGACCTCTTCTCGACCTCTGGTCCATCACGGACCGAGAAAACAATTGACTCTGCCCGGATGCACCTGAGACATGCACTTTCCCCTACAACCGTCCGAGAATGCCGAGAGTCAGCCGGCATTTCCATCTCATCGGCTCAGTTTCGAGCGGCCGCTGGCCGGATGACTCGTCAAGGAAGCAGAACACTCGCGATGTATTAACGATTTCGAATGTGCTCTTTATGCAACGCGGCCGCGGCGCAGTTTCGCTCGTGAGAAAAAAAAAAGAACGTTTCGGACCTTCCTGGAAGACTGGAAAGTTGCCGCTGCTGTCGCGATGATTTCTCTTTTTTGAAGCTTCTCTCTACTGGCTTATGAACGATTTTTCGTTTTCGGCATCAAAAATAAAAATACAAAAAGGGCCACCTTAAAATTTAGTGGAGTTGACGAATCAAAATTGATTATCATTTTAAGATTGAAGTACTTTCACTATTTTGTACAGAACTATGTTGTACAGAAATATCTTACAGAAAAGAAAAACAAAATATTTATTTTGAAATATGAAAACACGCGTAAATGGAAAAAAATCAATAAATACACATTCGAATTTTTTAAATACTATTAATGGATTACATGTTACAAATTCGTAGCGTATAGTTTAATACGTTGCATATACATTGTATTGGACTAGATGTAACTATTGAATTATGAATCATTACAGAAACGTTTATGATCACGCTAAAACTTATGCAGAA